TCTTTTTCTGGAGAGGGAGAGCAGGGGTTACTCAGTCTTACTAAGACACCCAGGCAGGCCCCGAACTAGGATTTCCTTCCTCAACCTCCCAAGTGCCAAGACTGTGGGCATGCACCACCACGTTGGGATGCTGGAACCCAGGGCCTTGAGCTTGCTTGGCAAGCACTGTCTGTGACGCCAGCCACACCCTGGCCGGGCTGAGTACAATGACCTGTGTTCAACTATGCTGGAGGAGGAAGTGATCTGGGTGGCATGTAGCGACAAGCTGGCCGGTGGACAATTCTGCTTTCTGGGCAGTGTCAGCCATTTGGGCAGTGGTAGAGACCCAGGCAGGAGGCCCTAGTCCCCAAAGGGGACTTCCTCTCCTGGCTCCCATTTCCTTTTGTTTTGTAGTTTTGACAGCTTACTCTGTGTTTTCCCAGCAGCCGGCAAAGCAGGGGAAAACAGCCATCAACAACCCAGAGGTGCTTTTAAAAAGATGGAAGACATTCAATATAGTGCCCTGTGGTGAAGGTTTGAGGGAGCCCATGACATCACCAGGCCACCCCTTTATATTTTTAATGATGACCCTATTTAGAAAGTTACAGATGGCTTGTTCATTTGTGAATTTGTTTTAATTTGTGTGTATGTGTGTCTGAATGTGCTACATGTGTAGGGGTACCCACAGAGGAAGTCAGATCCCCCGATACTGGAGTTACAGGAGGTTGTGAGCCACCTGACAGGGTGCTGGTTACTGAGCTCAGGTCCCCTGGAAGAGCAGCAAGTGCTGTTAGCTTCTGATCATCTCTGCAGCCCCTGTGTTACATTTTAATAAATGCTATCCAGAATGGTTAAGCCAGTGGTTGATATATTCATAAAATTACTTAATTGATGGAAAGGTCTCCATGTTAGTTTATTTTCTTCATCACTGCGATTAAGCATCTTTTTATTTCATTCGTGAATTATTCATTGTAAAGAACTTTTTTTCTAATTGTTCTGTAAATACTCTTTATATATTTGGGATAATAAACAGCCTTTATTTTCTCTACTTCCTGCTCCACTTTGTTGATGGCCTCTTATAAGAAGCTCTTGGGTTTTGTAATCAGATTTATTGACCTTTTCTTATGCCTTCTGGGTTGAGAAAAAAGCCTTTATTAGGCATAAGAGGCCTTTCAGCAGTGTTCTAAAAAAGTCAGAGCTTTTCCGAAGCAGCTTGCCTGTTGGGGTTGGTTGTGTGACAACAGGAGGTGGTGGCACTGTGGGCCTTCCTGTTTTTAAAGGCAGCTCCCTTCCTTCTGTGGGTTACAGGACAAACTGGAAAACCATGCAAGGCCCTCTCCCTCCAGGGCCAGGAGGGTTGATGGCAGTTAAAAAGGCAAAACGAGTTTGAGGGAACTGCGGAACTAGTCAGACTAGAAAGGCGGTTGTGGCGGCTGCGCTCTGGGGCAGCAGAGAGGCTGACAGGTTGTGGGAACCAGCACAGGTTTGACTATTAGAAAGGCCACCATGAGTGTGGGAATTCAAACCATGCTTTGGGGTTCCTGCCCCAGCGCTGTTCTGAGTTCACACCAACAGATGTCTCCTAGAAAGCTATCGTGGGTTGCTTTGGCGCTGTTACCCAGCTCAGGGGACTCATTTGGCCTCTCTACTGTGGCCCCCGCGTAAGCCATGGGAAGCAGACCCCAGTCCACCGTACTCGGAGTTCTCTCTGCCCAGCACCTCTGGGCTGCAGGAAACGAAGGGTTCATACTCGGGTTCTCAAGTCACTTGTCAGGGTCACAATTCACACCCAGAGCCAGCTGGCTCTGACCTGTCACTAACCACAAGTGCCCAGCTTCTAGATGCTACTGGTCTGTTTGACCTACAGCACAGTACACTGCCCAAGCCTTTCCTGCCCTCCACTTGGGGTCACCCTACACTCTCACCTTTTTTTTTTCTGGGATAGGGTCGCACTGTGTAGCCCAAGCTGACCTAGAACTCATGACCCTCCTGCATCTGGCTCCAGCATGCTGGGGTGACAGGCTAGACCCACTCTCTTTCTTAAAGTCCCTCATGAAGCCTTCAGTCCCTGCCTCAGCATCTGCCTCCATCCAGCGCACCCTTCCCCCACAGCAGAACGGCAGCCTGGCCTGGGCCCCAGCCATCAGTCACACACACAATGGCGGCTGCTGTGGGGACAGTGCCTGCTGAGCACAGCGGCTTTGTGAGCCTCACGAGCACTGTCAGGAGAACGGCAAACACGGCAAACAATAAGCCTTTCTCCTGTCAACAGGGCGGGTGCTCAGTACCACACCGCGGTTGTGTCATACATTAGACCACGGCTGCCCACACTCTGCCGTCCAGTCCGGCTTCCCGACATCTCCCTTTGAAGGCTGTGTGGTTGATGAACACTCAGCACCTGCTATGTACACAGCCTGTACCTTCCCTCACAGCAACCCTGCCCTGCATGGAGTCCTAGTCTCACTTTTCAGGGAGAAAAGCTGAAGCCCAAGTTGCTTCACAGACTCTCTGCCATCTTGGGTGGCCGGAGGCTTAAAACTAATACTTGGAGCCGGGTGGTGGCGCACGCCTTTAACCCCAGCACTCGGGAAGCAGAGGCAGGCAGATCTCTGTGAGTTTGAGGTCAACCTGTTCTACAGAGTGAGTTCCAGGACAGCCAAGACTACATAGAGAAACCCTGTCGGAAAACAAAAACAAACGAACAAAAAAACCTAATACTTGGGAGTCATCTGATCTATGCTAAGAGTGTAGACAAAGGGGAGGGGAGAATGGTGCCGTTAGTAAAGTACCTGCTGTGCCATAGGCTGAGTGTGGATGCCTGGCACCCAAAACAACACCTGGGCTGCCTGTGTTGGGTGGGGAGTGGCGTGCAGACAAGAGAACCCCTGGAGCTTGATGCCTGTCCAGTAAGTGAGCCTGGGTTCAGTGAGAGGCAAGGAGAGTGGTTAGGAAACACACCACTGTTGACCTCGGGCCCTCACGTGCGCCTGCACAAAAGTGTGGGAGAAGAGCCTGCCAGGGGGGTCAGTTTTCCAGGCACCACGGCCACAGTACACAGGGGCAGACCCTCCATGAGGGACTTCAGTGGGCGGGATGTGGTGAGACACACCTGTCATCCCAGCGTTTGGAGGCAGGAGGACCATGGTCTATACAACACGATCTCAGAAAGAGGAAAGGTGAAATGTGGGTGTGCAGCGGGGTTTGCAGTCTGCAGAGGTTTGGAGAGATTTGCTCGGTAGTGAAGCCTGACCCTAGAATTAGGGAGCATAGACTGATCAGTGCCTCTTTCCCAGCATTTGCCCCACACTGGGCACCCTGATAAATAGGTCTAGAATATATTTTTAAAATTGATTTTTGTATTTATCTGTATGAGCATGCATGTGTGAGCCATGAAACTGAGTGGGGGTCAAAGGACAACTTGTGGAAATCTGTTCTTTCCTTCTACCATGTGGGTCCTGGAGATTGAATGCCTAAGTCGCCACTGGGCCATCTGTCTGGCCCATAATTTAATTGTTTGGTGATGAGGGTCCCACCCAGGACCTCACACATGCTAGGCAGGGGCTCTGCCTCTTTTGCACTGAGCTGCACCCCCAGCCTAGGTGCATCATTGTTTCTTGTTTTCTTTCCAGAGACTCTGCTTTGTAGCCCAGGCTGGCCTCAAACTCTCAGTGTTCCTGCCTCTGCCTCCCAAGTGTGACTGCTTTGTAGCCCAGGCTGGCCTCAAACTCTTGATGTTCCCATCTCTGCCTCCTAAATGTTGGGGTTACAGGTGCATGCCTATAACCAGGGTGGTGCA